ACATTAGGTTCATCATCATCATCATCATCATCATCATCATCATCATCATGCCATGAGATTAAGTAGCTTCACAGTTACAGAAGCAATCCTCTCTTTCTCTGAAAAGAACAAATCTGACCTATCTGATGTATTCACATTTTACTTGCTTATCTGACAAACTGTAACCATGGCAACCAGTTTGTAACCATGGCAACCAAACAATAAATCAGCACGTTAATCAGCAGAAAGTGATGTGTTTTGGGTTCTGTCCATAGTCTTTGAAATAAAAGAAATGCAGTGAAAAGCTAACCATACAAAATATAGGAACATTCAACAAACTACCATGGCGAAATCCGCCAACTGAAGCAACCTTACGGTGGCGGAATGTTGGGAGTGAGTGGATGTTGAGTCACGGCATGGTCAGCAACATTCCAGCTTAATGACAATGGCCTCACACAATTATCAGTGACGGCTTGTTAATAAAGTGAGTAAGTGAATGAGTTTAGTTTTACGCCGCACTCAGCAATATTCCAGCTACATGTCGGCGGTCTGTAAATAATTGGGTCTTACTAATGAAACTTGATAAGGGTTTGATAGTATGATACAAGGAGACAGTCAGCAGTGACCCAAAATGTCATGGTGCTAAACTAGGTTCTGGTCTTGAGACAATAGCACTATCCATACAATGTTCATATATCACATGTGGCTTCAGAGGCCAATAAGCAGTCATGGTTGAACCAGCAGACAGGTTAAACAATAAGCCCTGTGTTACCAACAGCCTGTATACAGCTCAAGGTTAAATCAAGAGACAGTTTAACAATAAGGTATGTGCTACCTACAGTCTGTACAAACAGAGACCATAATATAATATCTATTATATGGTCTCTGGTACAAACCAGGAGACAGTTAAACAATAGCTCTGTATTAAATATAGCCTGTATCCACATCATGGTTGAACAAGGAGATCCTTAAATAATAAGCTCTGTATTAACTACAGGCTGCTCTGGGTTAACTACAGCTTGTATACAGCTAATGGTTGAACCAGGAGATCGTTAAACAATAAGCTAGCTCTGTATTAACAACATTAACTTGATTACAGCTGATAGTGGAACTAGGAGATCATTAAACAAAAAGCTCTGTATTATTGCTGCTCTGGGTTAACTACAGCTTGTATACAGCTAATGGTTGAACCAGGAGATCGATTACAGCTGATTAACTAGATTACAGCTGATAGTGGAACTAGGAGATCATTAAACAAAAAGCTCTGTATTATTGCTGCTCTGGGTTAACTACAGCTTGTATACAGCTAATGGTTGAACCAGGAGATCATTAAACAATAAGCTAGCTCTGTATTAACTACATTAACTTGATTACAGCTGATAGTGGAACCAGGAGATCATTAAACAAAAAGCTCTGTATTAACTACAGCCTTTATACAGGCTGCTCTGGGTTAACTTATATAGTAACAGCTCATACACTGTCTGTACTAACTAAAGCCTGTTTCTAACTTACATCAGGAGACAGGTTAAATAATACACTCTGTATTAACTCCAGGCTCATCTAATACAGAACCATAAAACTATAGTCATGGGGGAAGAAAAAAACAGAAAGTGAGTGAAAATCAAGTACCAATAATCTAATATCTCAGCATAACAACCTCAAGCTCTATCAACTTCTTCCAGTGCCTTCCACTGTCTCCTGCACTAGATTACAGATATTGTACCTTTGTCAGGCTAGGCAATGAGTGTGAACTCCACTGATCCCAGGTTATTGATAATCTTACAGTTCTATTACAAGTCAAAGATCCTTCCTAAACGCATTACAGTGTATGGATGTAAACTTCCTTATATTGAGGAACAGAGTTTTTTCTTATTAAACGCCGTGTTCCTCAGATTAAGAAGTTAACATCCATCAATTCTTGCCTTTACTTGTATCACTTCTATCATGCCATTCAAAGAAGATGCTTCCAGTCAGGGACATTTGCTGCAAATTGCACAGGAGTACTATTGTCACAAAATAATGCCTTGATAGTCATCCCAACAGACAGCCATTCTATAGATTGCACAAAGTATAAGTTTTCTTCCTACTTTTTTCTTCCCCTCTATATTTGAAACTGAAACTTCTTCCCCTTTCCTAAATATCTGAAACTGCTGATACAGCATAATGATGAACTTACACATTTCAACATTGTGTGACATATGTCCCTATCACAAGCTGAGTACTATATATTCCATCCTCGATAATCTCCAGGGTATATGTTACGATCACTCTCCACTATACCCTGGATGCATCCACGGCTTGGGGCGATGATTTTATTACCTCCCTTGGCTGGCTCCGCATTCTCACATTAGCCAATCAGCTAAGCCGCCGTTACAACCGAGCTTGCCAGTGTCAACAAAGATTGCGGTCGCAGTTGCAATTTTAGGTTTGTTCGCAGTGCCACTCAGATTTTTTGGGAAATAATAAAGACAAATTCACAGATCTGAAACTTTAAAAAGAATATATGAAAGAACTCCTTCTACTGCTTTCAGAGTACCTCTGCATCAATTGTGTTGCCAAATTTAAACGGTTAGATAATTTAAGACGTGAAAGTGAGTAGTGATTGCTACGCTCAACTTCCCAGCGTTGGCACCTGACTGGATAAAAAGCCAGCCAAGGGAGGTAATAAAATCATCGCCCCAAGCCGTGGATACATCCAGGGTATATAGGAGAGTGATCGTAACGTATACCCTGGAGATTATCGAGGATGTATATATTCATGGTTATTTTAATCTAAGTCTTAACAAAATCTGCAAACATGTTTGAATACAAGCTGTTACTGTGACCTAAATAGATGTGTATCTATGAGGAACTGGTCACTTGACATCATATTGGTCCGGCCATTACCTCCCCCCACCGATGAATGAATGTCCTCCCCTCTTGGCGATGACAGATCATTATGGTTCCTGATCCACGAAGTGTTCGTAACGTAAAGAGCTATTGCAACTGTATAGTTTGTCTGAGGCTTAGGAATGACACAGAGCTACGAATGCTTTGAGGATTAGGCCCCAGGAATCTTGAATATTTGACACAATTTTTATCCTTAATACGCCTGATCACATTTTAATGATTCCTATTTGACAACACATTTTTCTGTTGGCACTACTTACAAGTGAGTAAACTGGATTTAATATTGCTTTCAACTGTATATCAGTCATCTCACAGTGTGTCAACTATGGGAGAAAGTCCACAGTGATGAGTGAGTGAGGGAGTGAGTTTAGTTTTACGCCACACTCAGCAATATTCCAGCTATATGGCAGCGGTCTGTAAATATTCGAGTCTGGACCAGACAATCCAGTGATCAACAGCATGAGCATTGATCTGCCCAATTGGGAACCGATGACATGTGTCAACCAAGCCAGCGAGTCTGACCACCCGATCCCGTTAGTCGTCTCTTACGACAACCATGGGTTACTGAAGGTTCATTCTAACCCGGACCTTCTTGGGTCCCACAGTGATGAAGTACATAAGTGTTCACCATCTTGGTGAAACCCATGAGTACAGCAAGCCGAGAAACATTATTGGGGCAAACTGGGATTTGAATGCATGATCACTGGTTTCTGGCACGCCGGGAGACAAATATCAGCACCTTAGACAAGTGGGCCATTCATATCCCCCCCACTTCCAATAAATGCACACAAGGGTCTAACAGAACTTTTATCTTTATTACAACATGTCTTCATCAACAGAATGTTTGATGTAGACTATGACTAGCTTTCCTCATTCTCATGTCAGGTGATCTAAAAATCACCCTGGAAAAGTATACAACTCAGACATTACTGAGGACAAACTTATTCCTTTAATAATTAATAAATAGTAACTTGATAATGGGAATAATACTTAGTAACAGCCACTACGTGAGATCAATCATGGTCTGAGTCTGACACTCGCGTCATGCAAGGATTGCTCTCACCGACAAGTTTTCCATCACCAAAATACTGGGTTTAGGAATCATAAACAAACAAATCTTCTCTCAATACTGAAAAATGTAGTTTTTTGGTTCAAAAATACTGATTGTTGTTTTGACAAGCAAGGTTTGAGATCTGCAAATTCACATAAAAATACCTGTGGATAGAAACTCTATCATGCTGAAGGGTGAAAATCTATGGAATATATATGAGAAATATGCTTCGAGAGTACATTCTTACTCCTCCACTTGAGTGACTAATGATTTGTCTCTGGATATATATAAAGGTGACAGAAACAAATAATTCCTTTTAAGAATAAAACAATCCGTTGATTGGTTTGTGTATTTTGATTTAAAGGAGCTGCAGTCAAAATGTTGGAGATTCAGACACAGTGTGAACCTGAGGAAGTCTAGTCACTTAACCAAGATAAATCTAATCACTGTATAATTCAGACTTTTTAATTGGTCCCAAGCTGGTCCGAATTAGACAAAGAGCACTGTATATATAATTGTGACAGAAACAAATAATTCCTTTTAAATTGAAAAGGAGCTGCAGTGTTATGGGAGATTCAGAACCTGAGGAAGTCTAGACTTGTTCATATAGCGCTTTAGCATTGCAGAGAGGGTTGGGCGGACAGAAAATAGTGGGATTCAGGGACTGTGAGACAGACTCTCATCGGGTGGTGAAGGAGTAAGACTAATACCCTGAAATGTTGTGTCCTCATATTACACAAGTTGACGTGCATAAAGTTTCACCCTTAATCAGTGTGCGAAATAGCCACTGACCCACTAGCCCATTGCAAGTAAAAATCCAGTCGGGCCAGTAAATCTCCACAGTAACTGGCCCGACTGGCTGGTGAATTTTCAAGGGGCCATTTTGTAAATATATCACTCTCTCCGACTTGTTAAGTTAGAATACACTTTTAAATCATGCAAAATTATGATAAAAATGTTCATCATATTAGCAGCTTAATGATGAAACCCATGTCTACATTCAATTTTTTTTAGTTTAGTTTTACGCCGCACTCAGCAATATTCCAGCTATATGGTGGTCTACATTCAAAGTTCGGGCTAGTGAATTATCTTGTGGGCTAGTAACTTTCAGGCATAGCTTGCCCGACTGAATAGCAAGATTTGGAAACTATTTCAGACACTGCCCTTAATGTGTATCACTTTTATATGCTGGTCCAAGACTCCATCATGCCAGCCAACCTTAATACTACTGGTCAAATATATACTCTACTCAGTGGCTGTAACCAATCTATGCAAGTACAAATACCACTAACAGCACCTGATGAGGCTTTGAACTACGGCCATCACCAAGTACTGGACCGGAGTCTTAGGGTGCCATGTTTATATTTCTTCTCCCTCTACTGTTGGAGTGAGGTGCTGTGATCCAGGTACTGCTAACAAATGCTATTACTCCTGGATGATTTTCCCTTCTTTTTCCCTTTGGTTTTCCCTTTCTTTTTCTTCTTTTCCCTGGTGTCTTCAGCTCCATGGCACTCTTGGTGCGCCTGTCTTCGTCTCGCTTCTGTAACCACAGGAGGTGGTCAGCCCTCGCTGTTAACAAACCAAGGCAAGAACATGTTAGACGGGAAGAAAACTTACAGCATGTCAAACAAGGAAACAGTTACAAAATGTCAGACGGTCAAATACAGTTGTAACATGTCAGTTATAACATGTCAGCTGGTCATCTACTGTCAAACAGTTACATCATGTCTGGAGGTCAACTATTGTTATAACATATCTGATGGGAGAAACACAGTCATTACAGGTCAAACAGTTATAACATGTCAGAAGGGAAAATACAGTAATTACAGGTCAAACAGTTATAACATGTCAGAAGGGGAAATACAGTCATTACAGGTCAAACAGTTATAACATGTCAGAAGGGGAAATACAGTCATTACATGTCAAACAGTTATAACATGTCAGAAGGGGAAATACAGTCACTACATGTCAAACAGTTATAACATGTCAAAGGGGAACATCTTCTTAACATGTCAAACAGTTATAACATGTCAGAAGGGGGGAACATCTTCTTAACATGTCAAACAGTTATAACATGTCAGAAGGGAAACATCTTCTTAACAGGTCAAACAGTTATAACATGTCAGAAGGGGAAACATTTTCTTAACATGTCAAACAGTTATAACATGTCAGAAGGGGAAACATGTTCTTAACAGGTCAGACAGTTATAACATGTCAGAAGGGGAAACATGTTCTTAACAGGTCAGACAGTTATAACATGTCAGAAGGGGAAACATCTTCTTAACATGTCAAACAGTTATAACATGTCAGAAGGGGAAACATGTTCTTAACATGTCAAACAGTTATAACATGTCAGAAGGGGAAATACACTCACTACATGTCAAACAGTTATAACATGTCAGAAGGGGAAACATCTTCTTAACATGTGAAACAGTTATAACATGTCAGAAGGGAAATACAGTCACATGTCAAACAGTTTATAACACGTCAGAAGGGGAAATACACTCACTACATGTCAAACAGTTTATAACATGTCAGAAGGGGAAATATCTTCATAACATGTCAAACAGTTATAACATGTCAGAAGAGGAAATACAGTCATAACATGTCAAACAGTTATAACATGTCAGAAGGGAAATAGTCACTACATGCCAAACAGTTATAACATGTCAGCAGGGGAAACACAGTCATTACAGGTCAAACAGTTATAACATGTCAGAAGGGGAAACACAGTCATTACAGGTCAAACAGTTATAACATGTCAGAAGGGGAAACACAGTCATTACATGTCAAACAGTTATAACATGTCAGAAGGGGAAATACAGTCATTACATGTCAAACAGTTATAACATGTCAGAAGGGGAAAAACAGTCACTACATGTCAAACAGTTATAACATGTCAGAAGGGGAAACATATTCATAACATGTCAAACAGTTATAACATGTCAGAAGGGGAAACATCTTCATAACATGTCAAACAGTAAGAAAACTGTACAGGCCAGATGACAAAGTTGTTAAGTTCTGGGACCAACATCGTTAACATGAAGTGACTATTACAAAGATGTCCAGCTCTGTCAGAAGACCACAAGGGGGATGGACACTGACTCACCTAATTGTTTTTCTGCTAGTTTGAACTTATTATATTCTTTAGGCAGCCAGAATCTTGGGTGACTTAAAAGCCTGAAATCATCAAAACAATAAGTGAATTAGTGAGTGAGTTATAATACTTTTAGCAATATTCCAGCATTGTAACAGAATTGGTTTACACGCCCGCCATTGGTTCTTTACTTTGTAACCATATTGGGAATTGAACATGTGTCTTTGGCGTGATAAGCAGGTGCTTTAACACTAAGCCTCCCCACCTCTCCTCACAAGGAAAAGTCACAACCTTCAGAATGGTGTACCATATTTTCTTTGGGAAAATATGAACTTGAACACGATGTGCAAATCCCTTCTTCGTGTACAAGTAAATCAGTCATAAATTTTTCACAATTCAACTTGATGGCATAGATGCCCCAAAATATAGATGTCACTGCAGCAAATATCAAGCTTCTTACAATGCCTGCTGCCACACGGTGGTCTGGATGATGCAAGGTGACGGACCTTCATCTCCCACTCTTACTTTCTGTATCATTTTTCATGGCACCCTCAAATAGATGTGACATTCTGCCCCACCACTCCCCACCATAATGATCTTTGCAATGAATGGGTACCGCTTGGGATAAGTCAAATGACTATTGACCTTCTAGAACCTCACAGGCAGCTTGGGTTATCCGGGATAATAATGTCCATTTTGTTGTCAGAGCATGCCGATGTGGCGTGGAGTTCTGTGACATGTAAGTCGCCTTATTATAGTCACTAATAATGAACCTTCTGCTGTCAACTTACCCATCAGATGGTGACATGGGCAGCTCGGACGGGAGATCGTAGTACAGGGTCTTTCCTGTAGGTGGGAACAGCGCTCTGCAGAAACAATGAATGTTCAAATCATATGAAGAACTCTGTGATCTGTTTCACAGTCACATCTCATCACTATGGTGACGATAAATCCATTTTCTGTCACAGATATAAAAGTGTAAGCACTATTCATACACAGGGGTGGAAATAACCCATTGCCCGACGCCCGAGTCCAGTGTTTTTTTCTGTCGGGCAAGCAAATTTGTATATCACACTGTACCGGTGTCCAGTTGACTTTCCAATTTGAATTATGTTGTTTATTTAAAAAATCAACAAGAAAAGGGCCGGTATAGTGGAAAAATTATCAGGGCAAGTGATTTTACATGTGCCACTGTACCGGAGTACACTAGCAATTTTAAAGTTATTTCCACCCCTGATACACAGAGTTTATCTAATACAGTACATGATTACACAATGCCATTTAGAAAGCGGACAAATGTAACATATGTTATATTTGGGACTACAGTTTCTTAGTAAAGTACAGATTCTAGTACTTTTCTTGGGTCGAGGTCCACTGTGGAAGTCACAGTGGCTGAGTGGGTTAGGCGGCTGACTTTGTGTCCTGGCGATTAAGTGCCTGACTCTGAGGGTGTGGGTTCAAATCCCGGATGGGACTCAACCCAACAAAAGTACTAGAATCTGTACTTTACTGAGAAAGTGTAATCCTAAATATAACACATGTTAATACAGTCCACACTGACAGATCATAGTGATCAAAATACAGTCAGAGTAACAAGAGTTGCTTCCCTTGGTATGCCAAGCAATTGTTGATTTAGCTGAATCTTCCTGACAATATAATGTGTGGGTGGGTGGGTTTTTTTGTTTGTTTTTGAACAAGGCAAGATCACATGACCAGGTGATATGATGATCGTAACTCCCATACTCTGGCAGAGATATACGATACAATCGCGAATTCCCATACTCTTGAAGATATATACAACAGGTATGATAGTAACTTCCATATATACATTCATGTTGGCCTCGGCATTATGATCTCTAAGGATCAAGGTCTAAAGTAGATGACGACTTGGTGTGCAAGGTCCAAACAGTGACAACACCCACCTCTCAAGCGTCTCCGGCTTGACATTGCAGCCCAGCTCTGCCATTCGTGTGTGCATCTCCTGGCACGCCAGGTTCTCCTCCGTCTCTAGGTCATGTGACGGCTTCTTGGTGTTGATGTAGATGACGCTGTCTGGGTCCCAGCTCTCCTTCTTCCGGGACAGGTTGGTCTGTGAGTAGTTGGCGTACCGCTCTGAAACAGAGAGAGTAAGGTTTAAAGCCAGGCCACTCTTTTAGCAATATTCCAGCAATATCACTGCGGGGGACACCAGAAATGGGCTTCATACATTGTGCCCATCTGGTGAATTGAATCAGGGTCTTTGGCATGATGGCAAACACCTTAACCACAAGTTTACCCCACTGTCCTTCTCTGTAACACAAGGTTATCATACTATGGAGAACACAAGGTTATCATAGTATGGAGAACACAAGGTTATCATACTATGGAGAACACAAGGTTATCATAGTATGGAGAACACAAGGTTATCATACTATGGAGAACACAAGGTTATCATAGTATGGAGAACACAAGGTTATCATACTTATGGAGAACACAAGGTTATCATAGTATGGAGAACACAAGGTTATCATACTATGGAGAACACAAGGTTATCATAGTATGGAGAACACAAGGTTATCATGCTGTGGAGTTGGAGTTTTAGCATTGTGTCTGTACAACCAGTACCTTGTGTTGCAGCCAGCCAGTAAGGGAGTGGTTTGGCTGGGTGGTGGTGGTGGCGGTGGTGGAATTGGGTTTAAAAACGCCGTGCTTGAGAATATTTCGCTCATATGACGACGTGCATGCGTGTGTATGTGTATGTGCGGCTGCTTGTACTAGCCCAGACTGAAGCTGGTTTTATAGTGCTAGCCCACTGAGATACCATGCCGCAGTGAAGCATGAATACCCCACTCAGACACATTATACTGACTCGTACCCATGAACCAGTCCGTGTTGTACCCATGAATGCTCAGTTGTTTTCCATGGGATGTCGGTATATTACTTGTCTTCTTTGTTGCTTAATCTCTGTGGTTCGTGAAACCATCAGTCAAGACCAAACAAACCAGTGATTGATATTATGAGCAGTATGCCATGATGTAACGAGAACAGGAAGGCACCAAGCAACAAAGTCTGACTACTAGTGGTGGTCCGATTAATTGTAATAATGGAATTTGGTCGCGCAGCGTCTAACCGACCAAGCAATCGATCATGTTTTCTCATAATCAAAGAAAGTCAATTTTGGGACACTTGTTTGCATTAACAATATTTTTCACAAAGTTGGTTTTGTCTGTTTTCATAAGCACTACAAGCTTGTTCCAAGTCATGATTGAATTTATCTGAAAGACTCCAGAAAATTTATGTTCCTAACATGCTAGTCATCCTTTAAAGATGTGATATTTGCAAATGCATTTTGTGCAGTTTGAAAGAAAACAAACCCCCAAAACTGCATGTTTTTTTTCTTTATTTTTTAGTGCATTAACAAACAAAACCAGGGAAATTTGATAAACGACGCTAACCAATTATTTTCTATGATTGAATCGGTTGTAATGAACCAATCATCAATTATGAGATTTGAACCAGTTCCCAACACTACTGACTACCCATTCCATTTAGCTGACTAACAACCAATAAGTATCACAATCATGACATCATGATCAAATTTGATTTAAAGAGTATTTACCAAATGGAATGCCCACAGCGATGCTGTCTTGTGTTGACCACAGATCATTAGAGACTTCTAATACATTGAGAATGTATGTGTTAAAGATAATTAGTAATCATTCTATTTCAAGCGATTGATAACTATATATAACTTGGTTCGAAGTGATATTTTGGGCAATGCGCTTCAAGACAGTGTCCATTATTTATATACATAAGTCTGTTCTAGATTTGAATACTTACTTTTACTGGAGCGAGGACCTCTCTCTGCTGTAGCGGCAGACTGGATCCTGCGAGTGTCAGCATTCCTGTAATATTAAGACAGCATAAGGGTGGTTGTTGTTGAGTCAGGAGTTGTCTGCCCAGGGGAGGAGTCAGGGGGTATGGATACAGGAGTAAGGAGAGGACGTGTGTGTTTCCTTGGGAGTAAGGAGTCCCCAGAAATTCAGAGAGGTTGAAATAAGGGGAAATGTCAGTAGGATCAGGAAAGAGGGGCGAATTGAAGAGGGCCTGGAATCAGGGGGGACGGCAAGAAGGTCTGCAATTAGGCCAGGAGTCAAGAGGGTTTGGAATACAGGGGAGGGATCGTGTGGATTATAGAATATAGGGGATGTCAAGAGAGTTTGGGGCATAGTCATCAGGGATGGATACAGAATGGAAAGGTCATTGAGGTTTTAGATTAAGGAGGGAAAGTTGTAGGGTCTAGAAATTTGGCAGATGTCAGTAAGAGTTGGAAATGGTGAGTGAGTTATGTTTTAAGCTGCTTTTAGCAATATTCCAGTAATAGCATGGTGGGGACACTAGAAATGGGCTTCACACATTGTACACATCGGGGAATTGATGCTGGGGCTTTAACCATTATGCTGCCCCACCGCCCTGATCTGGAAATTATAGGGGCAGAGATAGGAGGGTGTGGATGTAGGGCATGGAAATATGGCAGGAGTCAAGACAGGATATAGGGAGGTCAGGAGGGTTTGGAGTGAGTGAGTGAGTGAGTGTGGATTTCACGCTGTTTTAGCAATATTCAAGCAATATCACGCAGGGGAACACCAGAAATGGGCTTCACACATTGTCCCCATGTGGGGAATAGAACCGGGTCTTGGTGTGTGAGCCGAACACTTTAACCACTAGGCTACCCCACACGCCCTCAGGAGGGTTTGGAAATAAGGGAACGGGTCATTAGGGTTACAGAACAAGGGAGGGTTCACAAATGGGGGATGGGTCTAGAGGGTTTAGAAACAGGGGAGGAAACAAAAGGGTCTGAACAAAACAAACAAGGTCACATGTGGTACCATTAAACAAAGGCTGAGAGATAGAAGTATGATTAATAAATTTTCAATAGGGTGGCATGGAATTGTCAGAGTATTGCAGCAGTGAAAAAGCACTACATCAATCTTGTATTTTGACAACTAGTGAAATATGCTGAGACTCACAGTTTCCTGTCCGAGGTGACAAGGCAGGAGGTCGGCCGGAGCATCGTCGTGTTGTCCTCTGCATCTGTCTGCATCTGCAGAAACCAAGTAGAAGTGTCCTCATTGCAGTAGGTCTCCATATCAGTGTTTCCGCTGGCTTTTTCACAGCTGGACATTGTGACCGGCTAGTATTTCAAATACCAGTCATTTGTAAATTTAACCAGTCAAGTGATCACGCTTTTCATTGTGCGTGAGACCTTGCACCCTAACAACCAATCAGAAATGTAGAGGGTATGTGTCAATGCCACTATTTTTAGCCTGTTTTTTCGCCAAAACTGCTACTTTTTATTTGACACGACCTTGATGTCATTGTGAAAACATAATCTTTTTCGAGGAGAAATAAAATTGACAGAGGTAATTAGAAAATTTATTTTAAAATTTGCGGACCACGATGACATTCTAACTTTGTACCAGTCAAAGTACGGTATATACCAGTTAAAGGAAACACTGCATACAACATACAAACTGAACAACCTGGGTCACTTTAGGAAACAATACATCCCCTGGTCAGGCTAGAACAGACTTCAGCAGAATGGCCGAAACAAGGGAATAATTTGATCACATGTATTGAAGTACAGTCGAACACTGCTGAATGGACCTATGTAAATACTTTATGTTATCCAAAGTTCAATACAACTGAACAATAATCGAATGAAGAAAGAATACAAAGAGAACAAGCATTTACATGGAGACAACAATATGTCTGACACATCAAAGTTTGATAAGATAGTGTTGATTGTATCTGCCATTTACTACATAGAGAACATGTTTGCTCTCTCTCTGTAAGCCAAATCACTTGCCTGACAAAGATTAATTTCTGAATAATTTCACAAACTCTTTGGAGCTTATCCAAAAATTTGGCACAAAACCTAAGGCAAAAATTCAAGCTTTGATTTAAGATATTCCCAATATGTTAATCATGTTAATATAGCTATAACTAATATATCAGTTTGAACGCATTGACTTGCTTGTCACTGATAACAGAACCAATATATAGGACAATAGTAAGGCCCATTATTGTTTTGGATACAGTGCTGTAACACCTCTGAATTACCTCAAACATAATTCTAAAATTTGTAATTATTGGCTATTTGTTAGATAAATCCCTGTAATTGTCAGTAAACATAAAATATGAGTCTAGTAAACATAAAATAAGACCAGGCCAATTTGATTTCTTGTTTTACACATTTTCTTTGTCAATTACAAAAAGATATGTGCATAAATACAGAGAAAATTATCAGCCAGGATGATTCCAGCCAGCATTTTAGACATTTTTGATAAATACACATATTTCTAGTTTTATAAGACATGTCTGTAACAGTAAAATAAATCGACAATTATCCGGGCTATTCAATAAATTTGAGTGATCATATTTTTAAGTTTATACTGACGCGTTGGAGGAGAGATGACGCTTGAGGGAGATGGCTCTCTGTGTGAACCTTGATGATATTTTCATCAGCTGTGGGTTCTGGCTTGTGTTTTACTCAGCTTTGTGTTGGCTGACCTTCCACGGCGCTGGGGAGCCGGAGGCGCCAGGAACATACTGTTGAACTGGAACCAGTCAAACAAACCACCTCAAAATAAATCCTGGCTCCGATTTCTCTAAATAAACTTAAGTTTTTACTCAAATGTCAAACTGACATATGAAGCATAAAACATTTTGAATAACAACTTTTTCTTCACTGCTTAAAGCAAGAAGTAGTTATCCTAAAGTCATATGCCTCATTTTTTGACTCACCGACTTCTAGAATAACGATTAAAACAATTTGTTTGAAAGTCCTAAAATAGGACAGTCTGTGTACCTTTTCTTCTGACTTGGCTGCAGCCTTAGCAAGGATCTCGAGGTCCTCTGGGGACAGAGAGGCTTAACCCAAGACTCGGGCTGGGTGGTTCTGGTTCAGGTTCCGCTCCTTAGGCTTGGCGGGAACCTGGATGAGAGTGAGTGAACATGCTGTAATGCCTCTCTTTAGCAATATTCCAGCAATATGATGGTGGGAGATGCCTGAAATAGGCTTCACACATTGTACAAAGGGGTAATCGAACTCGGATCTTGATTGTGAAGAGCGGACACTTTAACCCTCCACCCTGGATTAATAATAACTTTCAGTGGTGTTAGTCCAAAACAAGAGAGAATGAGTTTTACACCACTTTCAGCAATATTCCAGCAACAACAGGAAGCATCAGAGCTTCACACATTGCAGGACTGACTGACTGACTGAGTTTGGTTTTACCGCTTTTTTAGCAATATTCCAGCAACATCAATGCATGGGGGACACCAGAAATGGGCTTCACACATTGTGCCCATGTGGGGATTCAACCCGGTCTTTACGGCATGACGAGCCATACGCTTTTAACCATTAGGCTTCCCCACCCCACACATTGCAGGAGAGTCAATCGCGAGGATTTTAGGGCTTAAAACAACCACGTTAACCAGTAGGTTAACCACCACTACTTTATGAGCTTGTGTGTAACGTGTTTTATCTCTTACAGATGTTTGTGGAAGCATTAGGTTTTCAGTGCAATTTGAACACAACAGCTTAAGTCTTATCAAAGCAAGAAATATAACATTGTATCATGTGTTGGTAAAACAACCTTAGCTTGATATGTTTACTTGTCTGCTAAAATGACAGTTGTTGCTTCCAATATCCAGTTAAGCTCTATTTCATCAGCAGCAGATCCTGAGCATCAGTAAGGGAGGCAAATCCTCACCTTGATAGATACAGCACTGTTCCTGGGAGACATCCTCTTCTGTTCCAGATAGTCAACGCCACGGCCAGCTTCTCCCGGTTTTGGTGCTGGTGATGAGGAGTTCCAGGAATGATACTGCGCTCAGTCTTCCACTGGCATATTGTCGCCGAACTCAAATGTCTTGATGGTTTTGTAGACAAAATTCTCCTTCTCCTCACTGCAGTTCCGCTCTGGAGATTTACGGTCGGTTCTCATCGCCACTTCATAGTAATTCTTTTCCGTTTGAGATTTGTATAGCTTTGGGTTAGATGGTGGATGTAGAAATTTAGTGATGTTTTTACGTAGATGTGAATTATTGGTATTGTTCACGGAGAGAATGCTTGATTTCTCGTCCGCGTCATCTTCATTGTTGTCTTCACTCTGTCAAACTGACTTGAGATACCATGGTAATTAAATCAATTTCTTTACTTAATCTTTTTCTTTTTCCTGTGTTTCTTGGGTGCTGCTTTTATCGCTTTCTCGTGTCATCATGAGCTTAACTGTTACTGTGGGGACAACAGGAGGAGCTGGGACATGGTTTTTTCGAGCCACTGGTCTCATCATCGTTCAAGGCCAAGTTTGTCGTGAATCATGAGTGACAGTATCACCCTGCACCATCTTTTCTCGACTAGCATCAGAGACGAATCAATACCGAATTAATCCGACTTCTCACATGACTGTAATCAACGCACTTGAAAATTTCTTTTAGCCATTCCTCCTGCCCGCAGAAAGACTTGCCACCTTCCGTCCAGCGCTCCTTGGGGTGATGTCAAGCGGTGACGTTACGATCCTCCCCTAATGAGCACTCCAGCGCGACCTGCACTCCGCGACGCGAAGCCGACTCATGTGCTGCACGGGAGTGGCTGTCGGTGGAGACACACTGGCAGAGTCGCGGCATTCACATCATACAAACTTGGACTCTTTTCTCCCAGAAACCTGTTCCTCGCCATGAGGTGACAGGTTCGAAAGGTTCTCTGCGGGCTGCGTGTTGATGTAAGAAATTCCCGCCTTCGTTATACTTGACGTGTCGGGTTTGGTTTGGTGGTAGTGGTGTTTGTGTGACTCTCAGCCTCACGGAGCAGTCTGGAATGAGATAAAGTATCACACATTCAAAATCAGTGGGACACAGCTGGGATTACCCAGTTTCAGAAATATCACATGGAGGTGTTGCAAAACAAAAAGAAGGATCAACCAGATGATGTATTTTATCACTTTTGGTGTCAGAGGCGGGGTGGGTAACGAATTGTTGACTTTGTGTGCTTGTGCACAGACATGTGTCCATGTATTCATACACAGAGAGACCCGTGAAGATCCGGGTTAGAATTGATCTTCAGTAACCCATGCTTGTCGTAAGAGGCGACTAACGGGATCAGGTGGTCAGGCTCGCTGACTTGGTTGACACATGTCATCCGGTTCCCAATTGCGCCAGATCGATGCCCATGCTGTTGATCACTGGATTTGTGTGGTCCAGACTCGATCATTTAGAGACGTCTGCCATATAGCTGGAATATTGCTGAGTGTGGCGTGAAACTAAACTCACTCACTCACTCATACACAGAAAGACAGACAGAAACCTACATGGTGACACACACAGGATACACTCACACTCATGGAGGCACATACACACACATCCCCTTACCTCTCAGTGTCCAGCTCATCCATGTCTGCCTCCTCATCTTCAGCTTTAGGCAGAGACAAATGGATGGGTTCCGTGTTGGCTTTAAGAGCAGGTAGGACTTCTGACTCTCACATTGCAGAGACCTGGTCAAAGGTTAGAAAATGGAGAACACAAGGTAATGGAGAACAAGGTTATCATAGTATGGAGAACACAAGGGAGTATGGACACAAGGTTACCATAGTATGGAGAACACAAGGTGATCATAGTATGGAGAACAAGGTTATCATAGTATGGAGAACACAAGGTTATCATAGGAGAACACAAGGTTATCATAGTATGGAGAACACAAGGTTATCATAGTATGGAGAACACAAGGTTATCATAGTATGGAGAACACAAGGTTATCATAGTATGGAGAACACAAGGTGATCATAGTACGGAGAACAAGGTTATCATAGTATGGAGAACACAAGGTGATCATAGTATGGAGAACACAAGGTTATCATACTATGGAGAACACAAGGTTATCATAGTATGGAGAACACAAGGTTATCATCGTATGGAGAACACAAGGTTATCATAGTATGGAGAACACAAGGTTATCATGCTGAGGAGTTGGAGTTTTAGCATTGTGACTGTACAACCAGTAGCTTGTGTTGCAGCCAGCCAGTAAGGGAGTGGTTTTGCTGGGTGGTGGTGGTGGTGGAATTAGGTTTAACGCCGTGCTTGAGAATATTTCGCTCATATGACGACATGCATGCGCGTGTATGTGTATGTGCGGCTGCTTGTACTAGCCCAGACTGAAGCCGATTTTATGGTGCTAGCCCACTGAGATACCATGCCGCAGTGAAGCATGAATACCCCACTCAGACACATTATACTGACTCCGAGCCGACCAGTCCTTGTTGTACCCATGAATGCCGAGTGCCATGAATGTCGTAAACCATGAGTCAAGACCAAACAAACCAGTGATTGATATAATGAGCAGTATGCCATGATGTACGAGAACAGGACGGCCACCAAGCAACCGAGCCTGACTACTAGTGGTGGTCCGATTAATTGTAATAATGGAAGATTGGTCGCAGTGCCTAACCAACCAAGCAATCGATCATGTTTTCTCATAATCAAAGAAAGACAATTTTGGGACACTTGTTAGCATTAACAATATTTTTCACAAAGTTGGTTTTGTCCGTTACATTTCATAAGCACTACAAGCTCGTTCCAAGTCATGATTGAATTTATCTGAAAGACTCCAGAAAATTTATGTTCCTAACATGCTAGTCATCCTTTAAAGGTGTGATTTTTGCAAATGCATTTTGAGCAGTTTGAAAGGAAACAAACCCAAAGAACTGCATGTTTTTTTCCTTTATTTTTTAGTGCATAAACAAACAAAACCAGGAAAATTTTATAAACGACACTAACCAATTATTTTCGATGACTGAATTGGTTGTAATGAACCAATCATCAATTATGAGATTTTAACCAGTTCCCAACACTACTGACTACTAGGGGTGGGTATTGCAGAGAATTTTCATATTGCGATATATTGCGATGCAAAAGCATGTATTGCGATGTGTATTGCAATATATTGCAAGATGTTTTTATTAACAAAAAACTACTTATAATCGAGTTAATGTTTGATTTATAAAGCAAAACCACAACAAAATCACTATGCTTGATTCACCTTACTAAAAACTTTTAATGACAAAGTACAAAGGTAAATAATATTTGGCACAAATGAAACAAGGAAAAGAACTTAACAATCCAGTTAAATGTAAATTTCACCACGATCATTCCCACCACCCTTACCACAATCATCAAGATTACAGAGTGTTACGAAGTTCTCCGAATGCATGTCAAAATACCGGTTTTCGATCAGCGCATCGCAATATGTATCGTTTTCATGTGTGAACCGGTTATATTGCGCAGCACTACTGACTACCCATTCCATTTAGCTGACTAACAACCAATAAGTATCACAATCACGACATCATGATCAAATTTGATTTAAAGAGTATTTACCAAATGGAATGCCCACAGTGATGCTGTCTTGTGTTGACCACAGATCATTAGAGACTTCTAATACATTGAGAATGTATGTGTTAAAGATAATAGTGATCTCTCTGTTTCAAGCGATTGATAACTATATATTAGTTTGAAGTTATATTTCGGGCAATGTCCTTCAAGACAGTGTCCATTATTTAAATACTTAAGTCTGTTCTAGATTCAATACTTACTTTTACTGGAGCGAGGACCTCTCTCTGCCGTAGCGGCAGACTGGATCCTCCGAGTGTCAGCATTCCTGTAATATTAAGACAGCATAAGGGTGGTTGTTCAGGAGTTGTCTGCCAAGGGAAGGAGTCAGGGGGGTATGGATACAGGAGTAAGGAGAGGACGGTGTGTTTCCTTAAGAGTAAGGAGTCCCCAGAAATTCAGAGAGGTGGAAACAAGGGGAAATGTCAGCAGGATCAGGAAAGAGGGGCAAATTCAGGAGGGTCTGGAATCAGGGGGGAGGTAGGAAGGTCTGCAATTAGGCCAGGAGTCAAGGGGGTTTGGAATACAGGGGAGGGATCGTGTGGATTATAGAATATAGGGGGATGTCAAGAGGGTTTGGGGCATAGTCATCAGGGATGGATACAGAATGGAAAGGTCATTGAGGTTTTAGATAGGAGGGGAAAGCAGTAGGGTCTAGAAATTTGGCAGATGTCAGCAAGATTTGGAAATGGTGAGTGAGTTATGTTTTAAGCTGCTTTTAGCAGTATTCCAGTAATAGCATGGTGGGGGACACCAGAAATAGGCTTCACACATTGTACACATCGTGGGGAATTGATGCTGGGGCTTTAACCATTAGGCTGCCCCATCGCCCTGATCTGGAAATAGGGGGCAGAGATAGGAGGGTGTGGATTTAGGGCATGGAAATATGGCAGGAGTCAAGACAGGATATAGGGGAGGTCAGGAGGGTTTGGAGTGAGTGAGTGTGGTTTTACGCTGTTTTTAGCAATATTCCAGCAATATCACGGTGGGGGACACCAGAAATGGGCTTCACACATTGTACCCGTGTGGGGAATAGAACCCAGGTCTTCGACGTGACGAGGCTTTAACCACTAGGCTACCCCAGCGTCTCAGGAGGGTTTGGAAATAAGGGAACGGGTCATTAGGGTTACAGAACAAGGGAGGGTTCACAAATGGGGGATGGGTGTAGAGGGTTTAGAAACAGGGGAGGAAACAAAAGGGTCTGAACAAAACAAACAAGGTCACATGTGGTACCGTTAAACAAAGGCTGAGAGATAAAAGTATGATTCATAAATTTTCAATAGGGTGGCATGGAATTGTCAAGAATTGCAGCAGTGAAAAAGCACTATGTCAATCTTGTATTTTGACAACTTGTGAACAATTCTGAGACTCACAGTTTCCTGTCCGAGGTGACAAGGCAGGAGGTCGGCCGGAGCATCGTGTTGTCCTCTGCATCTGTCTGCATCTGCAGAAACCAAGTAGAAGTGTCCTCATTGCAGTAGGTCTCCATATCAGTGTTTCCGCTGGCTTTTTTCACAGCTGGACATTGTGACCGGCTAGTATTTCAAATACCAGTCATTTGTAAATTTAACCAGTCAAGTGATCACGCTTTTCATTGTCCGTGAGACCTGGCACCCTAACAACCAATCAGAATGTAGAGGGTATGTGTCAATGCAACTATTTTTAGCTTGGGTTTTTCCAAAACTGCTAGTTTTTATTTGACAACACCTTGATGTCATTGTGAAAACATAATCTTTTTCGAGGAGAAATGTAACTGACAGAGGTAATTAGAAAATTTATTTTAAAATTTGCCGGACACGATGACATTCTAACTTTGTACCAGTCAAAGTACGGTATATACCAGTTAAAGGAAACACTGCATAAAACATACAAAGAGAACAACCTGGGTCACTTTAGGAAACAATACCTCTCCTGGTCAGGCTAGAACAGACTTGAGCAGAATGGCCGAAACAAGGGAATAATTTGATCACATTTATTGAAGTACAGTCGAACACTGGTGAATGGACCTATGTAAATACTTTATGTTATCCAAAGTTCAATACAACTGAAAAATATACGAATGAAGAAAGAATACAAAGAGAACAAGCATTTACATGGAGACAACAATATGTCTGACACATCAAAGTTTGACATGACAGTGTTTGATTGTATCTGCCATTTACTACATAGAGAACATGTTTGCTCTCTCTCTGTAAGCCGTCACTTGCCTGACAAAGATTAATTTCTGAATAATTTCACAAACTCTTTGGAGCTTATCCAAAAATTGGCACAAAACCTAAGGCAAAGTTCAAGCTTTGATTTAAGATATTCCCAATATGTTAATCATGTTAATATAGCTATAACTAATATATCAGTTTGAACGCGTGACTTGCTTGTCACTGATAACAGAACCAATATATAGGACAATAGTAAGGCCCATTATTGTTTTGGATACAGAGCTGTAACACCTCTGAATTACCTCAAACATAATTCTAAAATTTGTAATTATTGGCTATTTGTTAGATAAATCCCTGTAATTGTCAGAGTCTAGTAAACATAAAATAAGACCAGGCCAATTTGATTTCTTGTTTTACACATTTTCTTTGTCAATTACAAAAAGATATGTGCATAAATACAGAGAAAATTATCAGCCAGGATGATTCCAGCCAGCATTTTAGACATTTCTGATAAATACACATATTTTTAGTTTTATAAGACATGTCTGTAACAGTAAAATAAATCGTCGGCTATTCAATAAATTTGAGTGATCTAAGTTTATACTGACGCTGAGGGAGATGACGCTCTCTGTGTGAACCTTGATGATATTTTCATCAGCTGTGGGTTCTGGCTTGTGTTTTACTCGCTTTGTGTTGGCTGACCTTCCACGACGTTGGGGAGCCGGAGGCGCCAGGAACATACTGTTGAACTGGAACCAGTCAAACAAACCACCTCAAAATAAATCCTGGCTCCGATTTCTCGAAATAAACTTAAGTTTTTACTCAAATGTCAAACTGACATATGAAGCATAAAACATTTTTGAATAACAACTTTTTCTTCACTGCTTAAAGCAAGAAGTTGTTATCCTAAAGTCATATGCCTCATTTTTGACTCACCGACTTCTAGAATAACGATTAAACAATTTGTTTGAAAGTCCTAAAATAAGACAGTCTGTGTACCTTTTCTTCTGACTTGGCTGCAGCCTTAGCAAGGATCTCGAGGTCCTCTGGGGACAGAGAGGCGAACCCAAGACTCGGGGCGGGTGGCTCTGGTTCAGGTTCCGGCTCCTTAGGCTTGGCGGGAACCTGGATGAGAGTGAGTGAACATGCTGTAATGCCTCTTTTAGCAATATTCCAGCAATATGATGGTGGGAGATGCCTGAAATAGGCTTCACACATTGTACAAAGGGGGTAATCGAACTCGGATCTTCGGTGTGAAGAGCGGACACTTTAACCCTCCACCCTGGATTAATAATAACTTGTCAGTGGTGTTAGTCCAAAACAAGAGAGAATGAGTTTTACACCACTTTCAGCAATATTCCAGCAACAACAGGAAGCATCAGAGCTTCACACATTGCAGGACTGACCGACTGACTGAGTTTGGTTTTACGCCGCTTTTAGCAATATTCCAGCAACATCACGGCGGGGGACACCAGAAATGGGCTTCACACATTGTGCCCATGTGGGGATTCGAACCCGGGTCTTCGGCGTGACAAGCCAACGCTTTAACCATTAGGCTTCCCCACCGCCCCACACATTGCAGGAGAGTCAATCGCAGGATTTTAGGGCAAAAAACAACCACGTTAACCAGTAGGTTAACCACCACTACTTTATGAGCTTGTGTGTACGTGTTTTATCTCTTACAGATGTTTGTGGAAGCATTAGGTTTTCAGTGCATGAACACAACAGCTTAAGTCTTATCAAAGCAAGAAATATAACATTGTATCATGTGTTGGTAAAACAACCTTAGCTTGATATGTTTACTTGTCTGCTAAAATGACAGTTGTTGCTTCCAATATCCAGTTAAGTCTATTCCATCAGCAGCAGATCCTGAGCATCAGTAAGGGAGGCAAATCCTCACCTTGATAGATACAGCACTGTTCCTGGGAGACATCCTCTTCTGTTCCAGATAGTCAACGGCCACGGCCAGCTTCTCCCTCGGTTTGGTGCTGGTGATGAGAGTTCCAGGAATGATACTGCGTTCAGTCTTCTCCACTGGCATATTGTCGTCGAACTCAAATGTCTTGATGGTTTTGTAGACAAAATTCTCCTTCTCCTCACTGCAGTTCCGCTCTGGAGATTTACCCCGGTCGGTTCTCATCGCCACTTCATAGTAATTCTTTTCCGTTTGAGATTTGTATAGCTTTGGGTTAGATGGTGGATGTAGAAATTTAGTGATGTTTTTACGTAGATGTGAATTATTGGTATTGTTCACGGAGAGAATGCTTGATTTCTCGTCCGCGTCATCTTCATTGTTGTCTTCACTCTCTGTCAAACTGACTTGAGATACCATGGTAATTAAATCAATTTCTTTACGAATCTTTTTCTTTTTTTCCTGTGTTTCTTGGGTGCTGCTTTTATCGCTTTCGGTGTCATCGTAGCGAACTGTTACCGTGGGGACAACAGGAGGAGCTGGGACATGGTTTCGAGCCACTGGTCTCACATCAAGTTCAAGGCCAAGTTTGTCGTAATCATGAGTGACAGTATCACCCTGCACCATCTTTTTCTCGACTAGCATCGTAGACGAATCAATACCGGAATTAATCCGACTTCTCACATGACTGTAATCAGCACGTGAAAATTTCTTTTTAGCCATTCCCCTCCTGCCCGCAGAAAGACTTGCCACCTTCCGTCCCGCGTTCCTTGGGGTGATGTCAACGGTGACGTTACGATCCTCCCTAATGAGCACTCCAGCACGACCTGCACTCCGCACGTTTAGCCGACTCATGTGCTGCACGGGAGTGGCTGTCGTTGGAGACGCTGGCAGAGTGCGGGCATTCACATCATACAAACTTGGACTCCTTCTCCCAGAAACCTGTTCCTCGTCATGAGGTGACAGGTTCGAGTTGTCTGCGGGCTGCGTGTTGATGTAAGAAATTCCCGAGCGCTCGTTATACTTGACGTGTCGGTTTGGTTTGGTGGTAGTGGTGTTTGTGTGACTCTCAGCCTCACGGAGCAGTCTGGAATGAGATAAAGTATCACACATTCAAAATCAGTGGGACACAGCTGGGATTACCCAGTTTCAGAAATATCACATGGAGGTGTTGCACAACAAAAGAAGGATCAACCAGATGATGTATTTTATCACTTTTGGTGTCAGAGGCAGGGTGGGTAACGAATTGTTGACTTTGTGTGCTTGTGCACAGACATGTGTCCATGTTTTCATACACAGAGAGACCCGTGAAGGTCAGGGTTAGAATATTGATCATCAGTAACCCATGCTTGTCGTAAGAGGCGACTAACGGGATCGGGTGGTCAGGCTCACTGACTTGGTTGACACATGTCATCGGTTCCCAATTGCGCAGATCGATGCTCATGCTGTTGATCACTGGATTGTGTGGTCCAGACTTGATTATTTAGAGACCGCTGCCATATAGCTGGAATATTGCTGAGTGCGGCGTAAAACTAAACTCACTCACTCACTCATACACAGAAAGACAGACAGAAACCTACACAGACACACAGATACACTCACACTCATGGAGGCACATACACACACATCCCCTCACCTCTCAGTGTCCAGCTCATCCATGTCTGCCTCCTCATCTTCAGCTTTAGGCAGAGACAAATGGATGGGTTCCGGTGTTGGCTTTCGCAGCAGGTAGGATTTCTGACTCTCACATTGCAGAGACCTGGTCAAAGGTTAGAAAATAGGTCAGAAAAGTATAATTTTGATCCAACAAACAGAACTTTGCTCCCACTTGGGCCTTGACCTTCCTGGTGGAATAGTGTTCGGTAAGTCAATGTTAAAGAAGTACATTTGTACTCATGAAACAGTTGGTGCTTATAATGGTTTTTCTAGTTTCATCAGAGACCATCTGGTCTCTGGTTCCATGACATTTATGTGGCAATAGAGGTGTCATCATTGGAAAAACTATTTTCTGTAGGTGTTTTATATCATTGGAAGGATTTGAAGCTCTCAGAATATTTTAGAACTAAACCTGAATTGAAATTTGAGTCAGTGCAGAGAAATCAGACCAAAGAGTTATTGAAAATCATATTGGACTTTATCTTACCTCACACATAAATGTCGCTTTCTGATTGGCTGAGCTCTTCTATTATTTTCAATGTACCCCGCTTACAAGCGAGTAACATTTCAATGTACCCCGCAGTCAATGGCAACTCATTTGGTACTTCGTGGTAGTAATTCTTTATCTCGAATAACATTGAATCACTTATGATGTATGGAAATTACCGATCTTTTGCGAATGCAAATCAATGGAAGGGAGATAACTCTAAGTCTGTTTTTCTTGTCAGCAAAATCTAGTGATGGTTACAAAAAGATTTGTTCCCTTGCTTCAAGCAATTCAAAATTAACATTGAGGTGTTCGGTAAGATAAATAGGTTGTTCACTGGTCCCTAGGGGCCCATGGGCTGATGTACCCTCGATGTTTGTTAATGTTCCCTGAGCCCGAAGGGAACCAGTGAACAAATTATAATGTAAACTTTGGACTCACTCGACATCACTGACATTATCCAGAGTGCCCTCCCCTGGTTCTGGTGACACACATGGGGCAGGGGGCGCTCCACTGTTGGAGAACTCATAGTGACCATATTCTGAAAAGGAAGAGAGTTTTCATGGATGTCAACTTGTTTATTATGAGGAACACAACATTTCGGAGTATATCCTTACTCCTTCATCAGGTGAATGAATTGTATGGGGCAGAGAGCATATATATATACACATGTAAGGGATACATAAGTCCCAAAACATTCAAAGTAAATTTAAACGCTCCACTTTTTTAATCGTAGAATATGTGTATTTGTCTCAATTGCTAACATCTGAAGAGATGATGTAAATCCAGCTTGAGCCAATGCAGGAAGCAAATGTACTGTAAGTCCCCATGGTCCCTAGTATGGTGATCTATCTTCAGTTGTTGGCAATCTATAGCCTGTTTTTATATTGTATTGTCATGCATAAATAAAATATTTTAGATTTAATTACTAGTTTTAAATTTCTATCTGTGATAATATAGTTGTTTTACCTTTAATTATTATTAATCTATAACTTGATTTAGTCATGATATGGCTGAAATATTGCCAAAGTGACTTTAAATTTTAACTCACTCACTCACTATACATGTAAGAATAACAAAAGTTATAAGACAACAAAGATGCAGGTTAAACAATGGAAGCCAACAGTTAACTGGCGTTGATGTGACTGGCAAAGGACAAATGGAAACCAGCACTTAATTGTTAATTAGTGCTGAACGTTAGCCTAACAACAGAGAATACTAACCTGACTCAATGGTTGTGTGTGAATCTGCAGCGATGTTGGGGTTGATCATGTCCATGTCGATGCGCAGTCCGGCAGGTGGGCCAACCCATCCAATCCCGGTCGCCGACCCCACAGCCGGTCTGCGTGGGGGGCGCCCGTTTGGATCATACTTAGACCCTTTCACTACAAGATAAGTGTTCACATGCAATTAATTTCAATTTTCAATGACTTTTCTGTGACTTCAGCATATGAACACTCTTAATTCACATAACACAAATTTGATTTTGATTTTGAAATGGCTATCATCTGTCACAGTTAAAAACAAAAACACAGCAAACTTTCAGATATAAATTAGTTATTATCCAGCTTAAGGTGGAATATTGCTGCGTTGCGTAGTATATAAACCCAGCAATAAGATGATGGCCTGTACATAATCGATCCTACACCAGACAATCTAGTGATTATCTGTTTGATGGGCATCATACTTTCTTAATCTAGTGATTGACCTTTCATTGATCGCATGTTTCAACTGTGATCATAACACGCATCAACCAATCAATCAGTGAGCATGATTAGCTGATCCCATTTGTTGCCTGTTACAACATGTGTGGTCTTCTGACCAATTCTAGCCAGCATTTTCAAAAAGGATTCTTCCTTTTGTAACTGACATTTTCATTCAAAACAACCCTGTTACAGAGAAAGTTTTTGTTGCAAAACAACCCTAAAAGTTTTTGTTGGAACACAAAGATTCCAAAGGGCACATCTTTAACAAGTTGTCAACACTTGAAAACCAACACATTTCTATCCTCATCATGTGAGCCAGGATGTATTGCCCATTATCTTGATTATAGCAATTATGAAATAACATAGCGACATGATGTGATGATGGTATCTTCATCCTGACAACCAAGAAGTATGAGTGAGTGAGTGAGTGAGTGAGTGAGTTTAGTTTTATGCCGCACTCAGCAATATTCCAGCTATATGGCGGCGGTCTGTAAATAATCGAGTCTGGACCAGATAATCCAGTGATCAACAGCATGAGCATCGATCTGTGCAATTGGGAACCGATGACATGTGTCAACCAAGTCAGTGAGCCTGACCACCCGATTCCCGCTAGTCGCCGTTTACGACAAGCATAGTCACCTTTTATGACAAGAATGGGTTGCTGAAGACCTATTCTACCCTGGATCTTCATGGGTCCCAGGAAGTATGACGATTAAGAACCAATGTCAATACTTTTTGCATTTTGGGAGGTATGGAAGTAAACATCCATTTGCATACTTGGCATAAAATCTGTTGGGAGTTTGTTTTAGCTAAATAACTCCATAAGCACAAAAACATCATGCAATCAATTCTTACGCATTTTATAGATCAACAATAACAAATATATACAACACCATGGACAACAACACATAATTGGTTTTCAGTGCAATACTACAACACAAGCCCCACCCATTCTGTTATCATCCAATCAGAAAACAGTAGTCGGTTGGTAGATGTGGTCATATTTCCTTATGGAAACATGGAAAAAATTGTTGGGTTGGACAATCAAATGCCAATGAAACACTTGCATTGTATTTTTTAATATGTGAGATCTAACAACTTATCAGAGGGGTACACAAAGTCTGCAGTCTAGACTACCAGTTGTCCGACTTCCATTTGTGGAAGCCGCAGTGGTTGAGCGGTCTAGGCGTCTGACTTTGTGTGCTGGCGATAAGGTGCCTGACTCTGAGGGTGTGGGTTTGAATCCCGGATGGATCTCAACCCCAAAAGTACTAGAATCTGTACTTTACTAAGAAAGTGTAATCCCAAATGCAAGATATGTTACATGTGAGATCTAGTCATAAATGTTACCATAAACCCTCCTTCAGTGGGATTGATAACCATCTGACTATACTTGTGAAATTAGTAATTCAGAATGATTTAAAGTGATATCCCTAAACTGAATCTGATTCCTTCTAGAAGTGGAGTGATATGATGACTGCCTCACCTGCAATGGTTGTTGGTTCACTGGCGGTGCCGTCGGCGGCAAGTCTTTGGCACTCTGTGGTCGGTTCTTCCTGCCGCTAGGGGGCGAGTACATCCAGTGGTCTTGGCGCTGGCGGGACGTTTCCTGGTCGGGGCTTTTGTGGCCTCGCTATGATGTTTGATCAGATCTGGGATGGATGAGTTACTTCCCCTGAAGACAGAATGTTAAACATTTTTGAGTTCTGGACTGACTGACTGAGTTTAGTTTTACGCCGCTTTTAGCAATATTCCAGCAATATCATGGCGGGGACACCAGAAATGGGCTTCACACATTGTGCCCATGTGGGGAATCGAACCCAGGTCATCGGCGTGACGAGCCAACGCTTTAACCACTAGGCTACCCCACCGCCCTTTGAGTTCTGGAGTTGTGAGAGAGATAGGTTTCACACTACTTTTAACAGTATTTCAGTTTTATCATGGCGTATGACCTTGATATTAAAGGAAAGCCAAAAGTAATACAGGTCATAGCCATTTACCACTTTGGTGAAATCCATGAGGACAACACTTAACCTGGAAACAGTCATGGCCAATTAGGTTTCTGAGACCCATGAACCCTTCAACTCATTCTTCATTTCAAAGATTGATACCATTCGACAAGGACTTTCAGCCAAGGAAGTCGATAGGTGTTTCAGTGAGCCTCTCTTGACAGGCAATCCACTAACGCAGTTTGCGCCCTTCATCCTCAAGGACATTGAATCAATTTTCTGCTCTTCAAAGCCTACCACCTGTGACTCCGACCCCTATTACCAACTAAACTTCTGTTTCAATATCTTGACTTGTTGCTGCCAAGCATTACCAAAATTGTAGTGTATTTCCAAACAGATTCATGCATGCTGTAGTCAAACCTCTGCTAAAGAAACCTGATCTTGACTCTCAGAATCTTCAGAACTTTCGACCTGTCTCTAATTTATCCTTCATTTCCAAGATAATTGAGAAGGCTGTGCATGTCAGACTCAAAGACCATCTCTCTAAACATCTTCTGCTTGATGAATTCCAGTCAGCGTATCGGCAATACTATAGTACGGAGACTGCCTTACTGCAAGTGACGAATGAGCTTCGTTGTCATGTCGATGATGGTAGGATTGCTGCTCTAGTGTTGTTGGACCTCCCTGCAGACTTCGACACAATCGGCCACCATAGACTCTTGTCCAGGCTCAAACAACAGTACAGACTTGAAGGTCAAGGTCATTCCTTTCAATGGGTGACGTCTTATCTATCTGACCGACAGCAATCTGTTGTCGTTGGTACTGAGAGAGCAAAAGGCCCTGTAATCACATGTGGAGTGCCACAGGGATCAGTCCTTGGTCCCGTCCTGTTTGTGTTGTATACCGGATATGTCGGAAGGATTACTACAGACCACACAGTTTCTCACCATGGCTACGCTGACGACACCCAGCTCCTGAAAGCATTTCATCTGTCAGATCTCTCCATGTCTCTTCAGTGCATCGCTGAATGTACGCAGGACATTAAGTGCTGGATGACAGCAAACATGCTTAAACTTAATGACACAAAAACAGAAGCAGTTCTCATTGATACAAATCAACAATTTAGCAAGGTCAAAACTGACTTCCTTACAGTCGCAGACGCAGACGTAAGTTTTTCTGACGTTAAGGATTTGGGTGTCCACATCGACTCTTCCTTGACTCTGGATGCTCATGTTAACAGCCTGAGCAGGACCTGCTACTTTCACCTAAGATCCATTGGTAACATTCAGAAATATCTGACAACTGCTGCAACTCAAGCCCTTGTTCAAGCTCTTGTTACATCGAGGCTTGACTACTGTAACAGCATCCTTTCAGGCCTCAGTTCTAAACTCCTTGTTAAGCTTCAGAAGATCCAAAACACTTCCGCCCGCATCATCAGCAAGACTTCTAAACGTTCCCATATAACATCGGTGTTGAAAGAACTGCATTGGCTACCAGTTAGGGCCAGAATTGACTTTAAGATCCTCTGTCTGACATACAAGTGCCTCCATGGTTTGGCTCCCTCCTACTTGTCTGAACTCCTACATCCGTATGTCCCTGCACGCAACTTGCGCTCAAACACACAAAATCGACTGGTCATCCCATCCTACAAACTGAAATCCTTTGGACACGATCGTTCTCTTACTCTGCACCTGTGCTTTGGAACTCTCTCCCATGTGCCATTAAAAGCTCTGACACAATTGACATTTTTAAGTCCAGACTTAAAACCCACCTTTTCTCAGTATATTACGTATAATTTCAGCTGTAAATACTCCAGTGTAAATATTCTGTAGCGCTTTGAGCATGACTTAGGGTGTGGAAAGGGCGCATTATAAATATGCATTTATTATTATTATTATGAACATAGGTTTCTTGCATGCCCAAGAAACGTTATATACAGCTAATTGTACAAATAGGGCACAAATCCTGGAATAAAACATAAGTTTTAAGTTTCATTCCCACACAAGCTGGAGAAAAAACATTTATCAATTCTGGTGGGAAATGAATTGTTTTCCTTGGAGACAAAACATATAAAGATCAGATACTTGATGGGCATGTAGAAGTTGGAAGGTAACATAACAATGAATGGTATGGATGACCTGATGAAGGGGCAAGAAGTAGCCCAGAAACGTCAGGTTGTAAATATTAAAGAAGTTGTAAATCCATACCATACCTTGTTATGATTAGTTCTTTCAACTAGTGTTAAATATGTCATTTGAAATCCATCAAATCTGAAATTATTGAAATCTTAAAAATACAACTAAACTTTCAGTCCTAAATGGGTCCAGTGCAGAAATTTCTATGTTTGGGATGTATTTCTTACCATGCATTCTTCTGTAGGTTTACTGTTGACAACGGCGGGTCTGTCCCGATTTCTGACAGGAACTGGTTTCTACGGTTACGATCATACACAGATGGAGCCTTGAGGTCACGCGGGTCAGCAAGGCCAAGGTTATAGACAGTGGTCTTCACCTGGTCAAGACGGGCCAAGGACACACTTGCAGGATGGGTCCAGTTCTGTGGGACAGCGAACAGGAAGTGTACATTAGTGTTGGAAATTGGTTGAAATCTCACAGTTGATGACTGGTTCATTACCAATGAGCAATGAAAAAGAATTGGTTAGCATCATTTTTCAGATTTTCCTATTCTGGTTGTTTTCGCAGATAAGTATAACATGGTTCTCTGGTTTTTTGTTTTGTTTTTGTTATTAATTTTTAGTTAGAAACTTGCAAATTGCATTTGCAAATGTCACATCCAATGTAAAATGATGCAACTTGCTACTTTATGTACTGTACTTTATTGAGTGATGACTAATATATCATGAACATAAACTTCCTGGAGTCTTCAAGAAGTATTCAGTCATGACTTTTCAGTAAGTGAAGTGAGTTTTCTAAGAATTAAACACGTTTTCAGGCCCTGACAGTTTCTAAGATATGTTCCATCATGAAGTGTTTCCAACACTAAAAGAGCAGTTCCAAAATTGTTTGTGTTTGATTATGAGAAAATGCGATTGATTGCTTGGTCGTTTGGTCACTGTGACCAATCTTTGATTATTTCAATTAATCGGACCACCACTAATGGACATGCCAACTCATTGATGTGCTACATCAGATACAGGGTCAATGAGATTCTTTGTTTGTTTATTTGTTTGTTTGTTTGTTCATTCATTTCATGAGTGTGTGAGAGTGATTTTGCGAGTGGAGAGGAATGATTTCAAGATTGAGTGAGTGAGTGAGATGAGTGAAAGTGGAGAGGAATGATTTTGTGAGAGTTTGTGAGTGATTTTGTGGGAGTTTGTGAGTGATTTTGTGAGAGTTTGTGAGTGATTTTGTGAGAGTTTGTGAGTGAGAGATTGCTAGAGAGTTTTTGAGTGAGAGATTCATAGTGGAGTTCATGAGTGATTTCATGAGTGATTTTTGAAGTGATTTCATGAGTGAGCACATATAGGTTGCTGATGACCAAATCTAACATACATGATATACCCAGTATGGGTGACATGATACACTGAGGCACCACAAAACAATTCCTTGATACATATGGATGTGTATTTTTTTTTTTAAACTCAACTGGAGTTTCACTTGACGACAATTAACAATCTGGTAGCAATTGTACTTTTATTTCATCATCAAAATGCATACATCAAATAAGGCTGTAACGATTCACTCGCATATTTGGTGAATCGAACCATAGCCCTTCATGAATTCAATTCGTTATTGGTGGTCACCAGAACCGAATATTAACGAATATTTACGATTTTTTTAAGGGAGCATGTTTTACTTGAACCCTTATGTCCTTTCCAAAGTGAGATATGCAAGAATAAAACATGTACTAGCATTGCAGTAGTGCAAGTCATGTTTGTTTGCCAAGACTGCACATGGTACTGTCGATTATAACTATTACATACCAAATTTGAGTGTCATGAGATCACTGGTTATGGCTGACAAATTAACACTGTCAACATGTCCATTCGATACTGTACATCAATCACTTAACTACAATATTGTATTCGTGAATAATTATTTGTATTCATTATCCAATATTCATGATACGCAACATATTTGCCACATAGTGTATTCATTGCAGCCATAATATCAAAGCATTTCACTATTTTCAGTAGTTTAGCACTGCTGTACCATGGTAAAGTTTAATGTGGATATTTACTTGACCAGCCGGAGAATTCCACTCGACCCGGATGTCGGGCAATGGTATTTTTCAACCCCTGCTAAGAGCTAAGAGAATCTGTTAGCTCACCAAAACACAGGGATGGAATTTATCGCCCACATGATCGCCAAGACCAGATTTCTTAATGTTAAAGGTATCCTATGGGTCAACAGAATTTCAAACATATTTCTCTTTCACATGATATATTTATGCTATTGTCTTTCTAAATATTGAACCAGTAAGATAAGCTGCACACGCCATAGATTTCATAATGGTGACCACAAACAAATTCCAACAAGTCTTAGATCAACAAGAAATGAGGTGAAAGAGGCGTCTTGACTAATGCCACTTTTATAATGCAAGCTTACAAAGATACTATACCACAGTTTAACAATGAACATCCTACTCAGAAATTGTATACTGACCCGACCAGTCCTGGTTTTATCCCTTTAATGTCTAGCACAAGGCAGAGTAACAACAAGTACCGTCTTTTAACATCATTATGTATGGCAAGCTAGCAATGAACCATCAACAGTCAGCATTCTGGCCAGATGTTCTACCAGGGATTGGGAAAGCTGGGGCCATGGGCCATTTTGCACGTTAGAATAAAATATGGCCCATTAAAATTTTTAAGTTTACAAGGGTTGATACAAGGGTTTTGGCCCATTCTAAATTCAGAAAATGGCTAATAATCCTGAAAATGACCCATTATCAAAGTTCTCTATCCCGATCAGTGTTCTACCCAAACGACGACAGCGGTAACTGACCAATAACAGAATGTGTCCACATAATTCAAGTAAAGCTTTGGTATGTGGTTGCTATTCTAGACCCTCAATGGTATCAGCAGGTCAGGGACAAGTAATGGCATCTATCATCTTCAACTGATGAGAACATTCACACATTACCGGTAAATCAGTAACATGAGAAAATGTATCAATTTTTTACTGGAAATTGATATTTAGAAGAAAGACATAAAAATCCATATTTGTAAATAATATGTCTCAAACAGGACCATTAAAATGAACATTCATTCTGACATCACAGCATCAAATCAGAATTGCTGAATAAATTCCTGAACACAAATAACGACGATCATCAAACACCACCCACCTCATTCAGATATTTCCCCATAGAACAGCCCTAGAACCATTGTCACCACATCCAACAGTACATCACCTGACACCACCAAAATCCACGACTCCGACTCTCTATGAGACGGAGTGTATATAAATGACCCTGTACACAATCAGTTGCTAAGACAAGGCCTCGCAATGAACTCACGCTGTTTATATGTATGGGAGAGAAGATCCTCAACGGAGGCCCACATTCATAATTAATCTGCTGTTTCCGCGTAACTTTGCTTGTGAATAATAAATGCTCCCTGATTGAGCGGGCTCCACAGTCAGTTGAGAATCAGATGAGATACAACTCAGTGGAATATACAATACTTAGCAGGTGCTGCCTTGTTGTAACGACATCATAACATCCATTATGACATGTCAAGCCGACACAGTTGACTCTTAGTCTTACTTTCTGTCCTATGTTATGTGATGATAAATATTTACTTGTCAACTGTATCTACATGGGATGGAACCATCAATGCCTGCATCAGGCCAGTTTCAAACAGGTTTTATGTTTGTGAGAAGTTCACATGCAGATATAGTGTGGGTGGGTTTAAGAAGGCCGTGGCCTGCCCAAATTACATCTTTTCCATTTTTATTTAAATGTGTAGTTGGGGTAAAATTGAGTCGATTTAAGCAGGAGAATCATCTAAAAATAATGTAATGTACATTTCACAAAATGGACCAGATAAATTCACAAATGACGCTGTGCTCTCAAACAGTACATCTAAACCTGCATATCTCACAATACAAAGAACCATCCCCACTAAAAAAATGTAATGTACATTCACTCACAAAGAACACTGGACCACTGGCATAAAACCAGTGAACCAACATCTCACAATATGGACCACCCCCACTGCCACTGGAACCAGTACATCTCACAATATGGACCACCCCCACTGAACCAGTACATATCACAATATGGACCACCCTCACTGAACCAGTACATCTCACAATATGGACCACCTCCACTGAACCAGTACATCTCACAATATGGACCACCTCCACTGAACCAGTACATCTCACAATATGGACCACCTCCACTGAACCAGTACATCTCACAATATGGACCACCCCCACTGAACCAGTACATCTCACAATATGGACCACCCCCACTGAACCAGTACATCTCACAATATGGACCACTGCACAAAATGGACAAAACCAGTAAATCTCACAATATGGACCACCCATCTCACAATATGGACCACCACTAAACCAGTACATCTCACAATATGGACCACCCCCACTGAACCAGTACATCTCACAATATGGACCACCCCACTGAACCAGTACATCTCACAATATGGACCACCCCCACTGAACCAGTACATCTCACAATATGGACCAGTACATCTCACAATATGGACCACCCCACACCACCCCCACTGAACCAGTAAATCTCACAATAGTACCCCATGAACCTCACAATATGGACCACCCCCACTGAACCAGTACATCTCACAATATGGACCACCCCCACTGAACCAGTACATCTCACAATATGGACCACCCCCACTGAACCAGTACATCTCACAATATGGACCCCCTCACTGTACCAGTAAATCTCACAATATGGACCACCTCCACTGAACCAGTAAATCTCACAATATGGACCACCTTCACTCCCCATCCCTTATATCAGTACACCACACAAAATGGACTACCCCTTTAATAAACCTGTTCATTCATTTGATGATAAAAGTACTTTCTACAGTTTGACCACATACTTAGTTTCCATGTATAATAAGGTGATCTTTAATTAGTGAGTGAATGAGTTTTAGTTTTACGCCGATTTCAGCAATATTCCAGCAGTATCATCACAGGGGACACCAGAATTGGGCTTCACACATTGTACCCATGTGGTGGATCGAACCTAGGTCTTCTGTGTGGAGAGCGAACGCTTTAACCACTAGGCTATTCCACTGCCTCAATCTTTAATTAACACTGTAACATAAAATGCATAGAAATATCACTCAGTCCTTCTAACTATCTGCCATGACAAGCCATTGATCACAAAAAATTTTTTTTTAAATTGTCACTGAAATGATAGGTAGTTTTTCTGGGAAGGGTTTTACATTTCACTAAGAATGTTTTCATGAAAAACACTGGCAATCAAGCCATGTCTACCTCCATGCTTGTCATGCCACACATATCACAAGTTGTCATCATTTATTCATAACTAGTTAAGGTGCACCCTGTACATATGGCTGGGAAATCAATTGACATTGTGGCCATCAGAGAAATGCTTTCTCAACACTTTCTTTTGCTATGATGACAATTAAGCAAAATTAAGCATCAAAGTCAAGTGGTCCAGGAATTAATCCTAACATAGTTCAGATTCAGAAATATCAAACGACTTAAATTATGCACATTTATTAAGTTTATGACGTGGATCACTAATTTTTTGCATTCTCAATTTCAAACACTATTTTTGCAAGTGTAAATCCACATTTTTGATAGTACACAGATACAGCTGGAATATTGCTAAAAGCTGAGTAAAACTAAAACTCACTATTATTTTCAGGGTACTATTATGATAAGGGTCTTGGGTCCAAGAGAGGGTTCCAGTGAAACCCCTTATCTAACTGGCGTGCTGGTCTGCTTGGGGGAATTAACTTAATTAATAATGAATTTTCGTATGAATTATTATTCCATGATAGTACCAAGCTAACATGGAAGGTACATTATTTTTATGTACTCTTCTCAAATTGCCTAAATGCTGGCACCATGATTACCATAGTTTCTTGTGCACATTACTTTCCAAAACAAACACCTCTGTATAGGCGTGTGTAAATTATACATGCAACAATGAATTTGGATCATTTTTTAACTAAACACAATCTTTACCGTGTGAACTTTACACTGGAAATACCATGTGAATAAATCTAAAATCCAGTGTGCAACTTAATCAAGAAATTATACTGTCTGGTTATACTCTATAGTAAACACAGATCAATCATCCTAAACACTCTAAAACAGTATTTTTTTACCTTGCAACAAGAGTATTCAACCACCAAAGAGTCTGAAGTGTCATCTGATATTCTTAGAACTGAGACAACCCACCTTCTACTCTATTATTTCCCTGAGTGTATCAACAGCTCGTTAAGCCTCCCCAGCTTACGAACACAATTAATTATCCATAAAAGCTGGACATCAGAAAGTACCAGTATATTATACTGAGGACTACCAGTAGTAAATATCCAATGATTTAGCCCTTGTATCAGGTACCTTTGAGGGTTGGAATCTGGAAACATTTCTCAATGTTTAAATTTTAAATTTAAATTAGAACTGAGTAAAACTGGAGGTGATGCAGGGAGTGAGTGAGGGTTGGGGTGTGGGAGGAGGGGGATAGGGTGGGGAAGCAGGGGGGTGGGAAGTGGTGGTGTGTTTGCATGGTAGAGAGGATGCAGGTTATACTGCACCAAATCAGATACCGTACGCTTGTCGTTAGGAGCCTTCAGCGCAGGCAGAATCATCTGGCAGCAGTGATTGGATCATATTGGGTACGATTTTTGTGTTTGTTAAATGTACATCCATCCAGTAATTAAAACTGACCACAATTTTCAAAATTTAGTGCTGTCTAATGCTGAATGTGTGCAGATATATTTTCAAGTAGGTTTCAACTTTGGTGTTCAACTTCCTGTACTCGGAAAAATTTGTGTTTTTATTGTGGCTCTAAGGCCATACTGTGCATATTATACATTTAATGGCTACTAACAACCTGGGCCCTTATTCTTGAAATATTTGTAGCCCTAAGAATTCTTAACTTTGATCGTAGCCAATGTGTTAAGAATGGGCTTAAGAAGTTCGTAGGGCTATGAATGTTTCGAGAATAGCTAGTCTGGTTATGTTTTTAAGACATTGTAACTTTACTATGAAAGTCTATGAGAAAACATTTGGTATTGTGTAACTGGTAAGGCAAGGGACTTTTAGGGAGTATGGGAGTGTTGAGGGGAAGGAAGAAGCGGCTGGGATTTGAACCAGAATATCTATGGTTCAAAACATACAACTGTTTTATCCCAAAAAAAGGAGATAAACAATTCTTTTGTTCCAACATATCATTTTTGACAGACTCTCAACAAGCAAGTTCTTTTTTGGGGTGTAGATCTAAACCCAAAGGCAAAATAATGTTTTCTTGTATTTTCCAAAACAAATTGTTTTAAATTTAACCCCAAGTGCCTCCTTACCCCTAGATTATCAAATGGTAAGTCATTTGGCTCTGTGGGGTAGCCTTGTGGTTAAAGCATTTGCTCGTCATGCCTAAGGCTCAGGTTCTATTCCCCAAATGAGCAAAATGTGTGAAGCCCATTTCTGGTGTCCCCCGCAGTGATATTGCTGGAATATTGCTAAAAGCGGCGTAAAACCATACTCACGCATTTGGGTCTGTGGGGTAGTCTAGTGGTTAAAACGTCTGCTCATTATGCCGATGGCCCGGTGTAACAGCCCAGAGTATACCCCTGTCCCAGACTATACCCGGGGTTAAACTGGGCTAGCCCAGACTATACCCCAGGTATAATCTGGGCTAGCCTAGTTTATACCCCAGGGTATATTCTGAACTAGGCCATAGTATACCCCCCTAGCCCAGATTATACCCCTACAGAAAACAAGTGATTAAGGATACTACTATAATTTTATTGTACTTCTCACAATTAAACACTGGTTACAACATTGAAATGGTCCGATTCATTTTCCAGATACAGAGCATAATCAGTGTGAGTTTTCAAGCTGAAGCTGGCAGGGTTCGTTGCTTCGAATCACTGGGGCTTTCGGCGTTGTCGCTAGTGGGTGGGTCATTGGAGTAGATTTTGAGGTTACTGGCGTGGTATGTGTTGTTCAGGATCTTGTTGGTTTTCACGTTCTGTCGCTTCACACGACCTTTGGTCAATGTCTGGACGACGGAGTATGGTCCAGTCCAGCATGGCTCCATCTTGGCTCCCATCCTCTGGACTCGTTGGTTATTGTTGATGTACACTCCAACAGCTATCTCCTTGTTGCTGGTGTGTCGTCGATCATAAGTTTCTTTCTGGCGATCCTGTGCATTGGAGATATTGTTGGAAACAGTGGAACAGATGCCTTTGTGTAGATCGATGATGGTTTCCAGCACTTCTGGGCATGCCGTATTAGGTGAAGATGCTGTAGCTGTGCTGTCATTCCCCTCGGTCGGTTTCAGGTCTATCGGTAGCTTGGCTTGGCGGCCTTACATCACCTCGAATGGTGTGCATTTCGTCGAAGCATGGACTGATGTGTGGTATGCGAACAAGACGCCAGGAATGTATTGGTCCCAATCATCAACTTGGTCATTGACGAGTTTACTCAGAGCCGCCTTTAAAGTCCTGTTGTCATGTTCCCGCTGGCCGGTTGACTGAGGATGGTACGCCGAGGTTATGCGATGATCCGTCTGGAAATGGTCCATGAGTGAGTCAATCACTTTGTTAACGAATTTACGTCCTTGATCACTGATCAATGTGATCCAGGTCATAGATGTGCTGAGGAGACTTCTTATCAGAGTTGGTGTAGAAGTTCAAGATCTGGGTATAGAGGTTGTCATCCATGTTGAAGGTTGAATGCGATATAGGATGTGAAATGAAATGCACTTTTAAATACCTTTACATGACACCGAGATCAGTCTCCAGAGTCACTTATTCATATTAATAAATAAATACCAGCCCCTACTCACACCATCACCAGCCCCTACTCACACCAGCCCCTTCTCACACCGGTTATCTCCCATTAGTTAGACAGCCAGTTGTTAGACAGTGGAGTAGGGTATTAATTAAGACAACACCCACCTCCATAATGGTAGAGCTCTAATTAGATTGATGAGTAGAGTGTGCCCGTAGTTAATCTGTTCATGTTGTACTACCCTGTTGCCGAAATACCTTAGTTGTGTGTGCGACGCTAAATAAAGCAAATAACTAACTACTAACTAACTACTACTAAATTTTGTATTATGCAGTAATGTAAATGAAATGCACCTACAAATTCCTTTAAATGACACCAAGACCATTGCCCGAGTCACACACTCATATTGAGTGAACTGTCAACATAATTTTTTAGGGGTATAGTCTGGGTTGGAGGGGTATACTTTGGCCTGGTCCAGAATTTACCCCCGGGGTATAAACTGGGCTAGCCTATTGTTTACCCTGGGGTATAATCTGGTGGGGGGTATTCTGGGCTGCTACACCGGGTTTGATTCCCCACATGAGTACAATGT